ATGTTTTGATATGAGATTTCTTTCTAAATGCCTATGGTTTAAGCCAATGTAAAAGATGCAGCGCGACTAACACAACATCGTCTTCGCATCGGCTCGGTAATTTGCTTTTTTCCTATGTTGCTGTGTTTTTGTATCTTGGATTGGTCGTTTACAGTGTTATACATATAATATTTTGATATTATGGAGGGATAAATACTTATTACTTAATGACTATACTTAGTTTTAATATAAGATTGTTATGAATAAGGAAAATTAATTCTTGAGAAGAAAATATTAATATCATATCTATATGTTTTCATACATTCCTGAATTTAATTTCAAGGGGAAGATAATAATACATGAATGCTCGTTAACGAAAGAAATTATTTAAGGTGATGGTAACAAGTTTGTTATTTGAGGCACCACGCTTAGTGCTCGGTGACGAAGGAAATGTAAGGATTATAATAGAATATCGCGAGAAGTAAAATGAGTGTGAATATGAATGTGGTGAAATAAAAATGCGTATGATTGTGATTGATTGCGATGAAATGATAATGTGTAATAATGCGATTTAAGAAGCCTGAAATTAGAGATTCGTCAAAAATGAAGAAAATATTCGAATTGCGTGCAGTTCTCTTTTTTAAGGAGAAAATATTCTCAACTAATTTTTTCAAATTTGGTTTTCTTATACTGGGCTTTAACTGGCTATATTTATAACTTTCGTGAATAATTCACGAGAATTTTTTTTGATGTTTAGGAATAAACTTATCCAAACTAGTAGTTTATCATTATTTTCTCTAACAAAATATGAGTATTAAAATAAAGTTGTTTCTTCAAAGTCAGATGGTTGGAATATATACTGAATCCATTCTAAGTTGTGTTGTGTCGACCTTCATCTTTAGTTAATTATATACATACATACATATATAATTTCTTGAATCTGTATTTGATATCCAATTGATACGTCAGAACAATTTACACTTCCATACAAAAAGAATTGAATTATTATGGATCATTGGTAACATATATATACACATATATATTACTTATTATAACAGCTGAAATACGTTAAGAAAAAAAACTTATTTTTTTTTTTTAAGTCTATCCAACTATAGCCTTTTGATACTACATTGGAAAATTTAGACATCCTTTTTATTGTATGTTTGTATGTAAGTCCACCATTTTTGTTAATTCCTGTATCTAATAAATAGAATAATAGCAAATAAATAGAACAAAGCAATGTTAGCAATGTGTAGCAATAATGCAAACTATTGACAATAACACGTATGAGAGTAGGAATATAAGGAGAGTTCTAATCCTGGTCTTTCAATGTCACGCGGGGGGGGGGGCTTTTGTTGGCAAGAATACAACGTTACGCGGGACGAGGCCGTTTATCAGCTAATGTGTCGGATATGTTTTATATAAACAAATGGAGCGCTGATGTCGGGCCGCTGGAATTTATAAACAGATATTTATCATTACAATTCCATTACTATACTATTTACCTGATGGAAGTCGCGGCGAAATGTTAAAAAAATATAAAATGATTATAAATTTAAAAAAGAAATATAGGGGAGACCGGAGACAAAAGTAACATTTTTTTACATTTTAAGTCAGTAATCAATTACCTTTAGAAATATATTCAAACTGATTATATCTTGAAATACTCCATTTATTGGTCTATTATTATATCTATGTTTATCTTCAAATGTGATAGGTATTTAATAAGTTACTTAACTTTTCGCAAGTGCAATTATGGTTACTTTTATCCTGGGGGTCTAGGGCGAAGTACACATGGGGATGAAAGTACCATTTCTTATTTTCAGGAAAATAAAATAAAAATTAGTTTTTTTATTCATGTAAAATAACTTTTATTAAAATACAACATATATCTCTATATCGGCTTATTGGCCATACCGCGATGTTCTTGCGTCCACAAATTAATTTTTTGTTGTTTAGGAATAGTATCCTTGGTATCCCTAATTAAGAATATAATATATTCTTAATGTTTTTATTTATTTACGCCTTGGCGGAATTTATGGCGTTATTTGGCTACAAAGGCAGAGGGAAGTATTGTTTAGTAAGTGCCTGGATAGCTCAGTTTGAAAGAGCATTCGTCCGGCAAGCGAAAGGTCTCGGGTTCGATTTCCGATTCAACTGCTTTTCGGACCAATATTTTTCTCGCCTTGTAGCATTACAGGGGATTTAAATTAAAGGGATATTGCAGGAATTAGGGATCCAAACCAAGGATACTATTCCTAATCCAACGAAAAAATTAATTTTGTTGACGCAAGAACATCGCGGTATGGCCAATAAGCCGATATAGATATATATGTTGTATTTATGTAGGAGGCTGAATTATTATCTTAATGTTATTTTATTATAATCTTTTATTATGTAATATAACTTTTATTATAATTTTTATTAAAAACTTTTATTATATTATTAAATAAAAAAATACAACAAATAGTAGGCTATTTTTATAATCTTTAAAAACTAAAAAAAAAAATTATATTAGGCAAAATAATTAAAAATAATATCACAACATATTATTACTTATCCACATTAATTTTGTGCTTTTTTAAATATACAAAATGATTTAATTCAAATAATAGTAAATAATCTACTTGTACAAAGGAGATTTGTATCTATTCCAAATCACATTATGACATACGTACGGGGCGTAGCCAGACTAAAATGCTAGAGTAGGCAAGAAGATTGACAGGGTAGGACAAAATTAACAGGACGAACCATAAATTTATAACATTTTTCAACTTATTATTTCAGTTAAAATTATTTTTTATATTAAACAATTAAATAGTAATACACAGACAAAAGTATACTCAAACGCCAATACATATGGTACCTTGTTTATTAAATAAATAAATAAAGATAGTGCCTATTTAAAAACTTTAATAATAAATTTCTAAATATTATTTTTAAATTGGATTACTGAAGTAAGTATAAAATTTACGTTTATGTAGTTTCATATTTAAACTTTAAACCAGGATCCGGACCGAAACAGAATTAGGGTTTCGGTTTCAGTTACGGTTTAATAAAATATTTAATAACTTCCGGTTCCAGTTTCGGTTTCTTGATACATAAAAGATACCGAAACCGTTTAAATTACGGTATTTTCGGTTCCGGTTTTTTAAATTATTATCTTTTTTAAATTATTAATTTTTATTCAAGTTAATTTCTAAATATATTAAGTTTTTAATTGTTATTTTAAAAAGTTATGAATCTAATGGTATAAATAAACAACACTGTATCATATATGAAAATATATTTATGTATCATGTATTTAATTATTTCATGTCATAAATAAATTTTGTTACAAGTATAAGGAAACTTATAAGTTATAAGGAAAATTGCACTTCGAATATCAATAATGAATGCAACAATCAACATCAAGTTGCCTAATCCTAATCCTTAGTGATTTTGGAACGTTTTACAGGCGATCCATTTTTATCGGATTCTCTTCGTTTTTTTTTATTTGCCATCGCTAGAATAGTTCTTTCTGTTATAAAAAGAGGCAGACAATAATTATAATAATGATTTCGAGATTCAATTCATATGTCCTTTTGCAAAAATATAAAATATATACATTTCTGAGAAATATAGAAATTTCTGATAAATATAGACATTTGCGTAAAAACCGAAAGAAATACCGAAAATAACTGTAAACCGAAATAATTTAACAGTCCGGTTATAGTTCCGGTGTTTATAAATTTAATAGAATTTCAATACGGTTTACGGTTTCGGTCCTACTAAAAAAAACGGTATGTACGGTATCGTTTCGGTTCTGGTACGGTCCAGTCCCTGTTTTAACTCTCTCTCTATAATATAAAACAAAAAATAAAACTTTTTAGTTTAAGTATTAAATAAAAATATTAAATAATATACTATCAAAAGTGAAAATAGTATAAACCAACCAAACAATATTTTTAAAATAAAAATAATATCTTTACAATAAATATAATTATCAAGATATCACAAAATTTAGGAACATAAAGAATAACCATTTTATTGGTAGGTAGTATCTATTGGGTTGTAACCTACTATAATGTAGTGATAGTAACCTATTTACTATATATGTATATCTGTAGTTAATATCAGAAAAAAATAAAAAACTAATTTAAATTTATTAATTGCACGTTGCACGACAATGCTGGTCATTAAAATAGTTGTAGTTTTCTGTTTGCGAACGGACTTGTAGCGCGAGTGAAGCGCAGTGAGGAAGAGAAATTTTCGAGAGATAGATCGGGCGACCGCCCAATAAATAAATTGAGTCGGTTTCAAAAGAACTTGCACTTTTATTAAAAGAACTCGAAAAACGCAAGCGATAATAACAATTATTTCGATTCCGGATTTAATAACTATTATGCCCCGACGCCTCTAGTCGGCGAAATCGTGTCCGAATTCGAATCAGTGTCCAAAAAAGTAGCCGTGTCAGTAATAATTTCCGCGTGTACAAATTCTCGTTTATCTCGTCGATTATCGAAAGGCGACTGCGAATCGCGCTCGACTTTTGCGCCTTATAAAGGTAACATTTCATGAGCAGTGAAAAGCAGCAGCAGTTTAGTAACTAACTAGTATTGTTTGGTGAATTCACAGAATTGCTGCGCTGCCCATGAAATAGGTTTCCTGTGCAGTGTTTTAAATCGTTAGCACTATGTCGTATAATCAAAAATTATATCAGTGGCAAACAGAGTGTATACTTAAAATTAATGAGTATAATGCAAAAATAAATCAAAAACAAGCTGTAATAGCGGCAGCTGTAGTAGCGACAGCTTACACAAGTATTAAAAGAAAATACAAAAAGAAACGATATTGGATGGCTGAGATTTATAAGCAACGACGACGCATAGGATTTTATTACTTGGTATTCCCAATGTTGAAATTAGATGATCTCCGATTTAAGAATTATTTTCGGATGAACTGTACTCAATTTGAAGAGTTACTTGCATTAATTGCGCCAAGAATACACCGACAATATGCCATTCGAGAACCGATTGAAACGGAACAACGTTTCATAATATGTTTAAGGTAATGCAATATGTAATATGTAGTTTTTTCTATTATCCTTTTATTGTAAGTAGAAAGAAGTAAAATTTTAATATTTTAGATACTTAGCTAGTGGTGACAGTATGGCATCCATGTCACACCAGTACTCGGTTAGCCAAACAGTAGTTTCTCAAATTATTCGTGAAACATGTGAAGTTATATGGGATGCATTGTACCCTCTTGTACTTCCATTACACACACATAAAGAATGGAGGGAGATTGCAAATGAAATGAATATTAAATGGCAATTTCCACATTGTATTGGGGCAATGGATGGCAAACATGTTATTATACAGGTATAAAATGGTTTTCTGCATATCTGAATCAAAATTTGCATATAATTCACGCAGTTACTCTATAACTCAAATTCTATTTTTCTTTCAGAGTCCTCAACACAGTGGCTCTGCTTATTACAACTATAAAAAATCCTTCAGTATTGTATTACTAGCAATCTGTGATGCGAACTATGTTTTCACATATGTTGACATTGGTGCCTATGGTAGACAGAGCGACGGTGGTGTTTTTAAAAATTCGTTAATGGGACAAAAATTTGCACAGGGACAAATGAATGTTCCACCTGCCGAAGAAATTTATGAAGGAAGTTCCAAGTACCCTTATGTATTAGTTGCAGACGAAGCATTTCCACTGAGTCCATACTTGATGCGTCCTTTTTCTGGAAGAGATCGTTTGTCAACAGAACAGAAGATTTTCAATTACCGACTCAGTCGAGCAAGAAGAACAATAGAAAATGTTTTTGGGATTCTTGCTGCTCAATGGCGAATATATAGAAAACCTATCATAGGAAAAGTTGAGACTATTGAAAACATAGTGAAAGCAACAATAACTTTACACAATTGGCTACGCAAAAAAGATATATCAAATAGAGAGCAGTCATTTATATCTGCTGGTATGATTGACGAAGAAGCAAATGATGGCTCCATTATTGAAGGCAACTGGAGAAAAATTGTGCAACTAGACAACAGTGTCCTGCAACCATTATCTTCTTGCTCAACACACACATACACAAGAACGTCTGCTGAAATCCGACAAAAATTTATGAATTATTTTAATGAAGAAGGCGCTATTCCATGGCAGTTTGTACAAGTTTTTAAATAAATAAATGTTAAATTTATCAGTCTTACAATAATTTCTATGATTTCATTATTAAATTATTAAGGCTTCTTGTTCCTCGTCGATCATGTCGGAATCGTGACGTCAGAAGCGAGAAAATACACACTTAAAATTTTTGCGTGCCATTTTTAGATAAAAAGATATATCAATGTAACAACACTACAAAAGTCTTTGGCATACTTGTAAAATTATCTGAAAACTCTTTTTCCTTTTATAATCAATTAACAGCTGTAAAATGAATGTAATATGAAATCCAGTCCGTCTAAATATTTATTATTTATTTATTTATTAAACTGTTTTGGATCATTAAATAAATAAATTTGATTTTGCATAAAAAAATAATTATTTATTAGGACCACGCACAATATAAAATATGTATTATCATAAATTATGTATACTATAAAATATATGTTTAAAAAAAATACAAAATATTTTTCTTGCAAATAAAGCGAAGCATAGTAAGAAGTAATATTAGATAGCATTTAGAAGTTTAATTTTTCATACATAAATTGCAATATTTCTAAAATTAAAGTCCTTTTTCGCTCTTCTGTTTGTTGCCTTAACTGACTCCCAAGTATCAAAAATAATCCATCTACTTCGTCTAGGGTCGGAGATGGTGGCAATGTTAACGGTTGCATAGGAGTTGCAATTGTAGATATAGCATCTGCAATTTGCTGAATTGCTGTATTTGGTTCTTTCATATCTGAATGAGTTGTGCGTCCTAAAAAATAAAATAATACTTACAACAAAAACAATTTTTACAATAAATAAAAGGGGATTTATTATGATGGATTTAAGATAAGGATCTTAAAACATCATGACATTACAAATCATCGGTAACGTAATTATTCATTAAACTCCCTTGTATCCACTGAATAATACATATAAATATATGTATTATTATTCAGTGAATGAATAAGAATTATAATTGATATCATTACGTTACGTTTTTTATTCAAGGGGGGGTCTGCTGCTTCTCCTGATCCAGATTCTAAATTTGTTGTAGTCCTATAGTGTTAAATAATAATTACATAATAGAAATGGCACTAATGAAGTTATAATAGTCCAATCAAATTTGTTACATAAATCTAGGTTTATTCCTAAAATTCCAAAAACAAAGTAATTTAGATTTATACATACTGTTTTGTAATGAGAGTATCCTTTAAAAACAGCATTCTGTCAAAGTGCTTCCATTTTTTTTTCTTTGATCCTGCAGCTCTGCTGGGCTGCTTATCTTCAGCTATTTTGCGGCAGAATGTGTCTCGCAATATTTTCCATTTCTTTTGAGCTTCTTTTGCACTCAATCGGCCTATTAATATTATATATATATGTATGTATAAGTATTAATGTATGTATAATGCAAACATTGTTGTTTTATTTTTGATAATAATCATAAAATTAACATCACATACCATTTAACATTGTTGATACTTGTTGCCATTGCTCACTGATTGCCAGTCTATTACGCTGTGTGATGGGAATGTTATAATTATAGAGAATTTCTTTTCGAGATACTTCTTCGATAAGTAATTCCTCTATATCCTCAGTTTCTTGAGTACTAAGTGAACTTGTGGATGGTTCATTTTCAACATTGATAATGTCTTCTACAATGGCTTCTGTGTTATTGCCTATATCACTGTGCCTTATGATAGTCCCATTGTCTATGTATATAAATAACGTATCCATTAAAAATTATTACTTCACAATATGTAATAAAATCTTTACTTGTCTTACCACACACTGGATAAAAATAGCGATTGTTATCGATATGCACACGATTATAATTCTCCAGACAAGGATGTTGAAGAATTTCATTTTCATCAACAATAATTTCGCATACTCCACATGTATTTACCATTTGTATCTGAAAATTTAAACATTATAAATTTTTAAATAAGAATAAATAAGTTAATTGTTATTAACAAGGTAAGCATTGTCAATATATATATATTATATTAGAGTGTTTCCTAATCTATAATCTAACCTAATTTATGTACCAAATGATTTGTGATTAATTATTTCATATCTAACAATAAGTTAAGAATGAAATACCGTATGTATATATTATTAATTTCAAAAGTTTCAAAAATATATGTCTATAATATTTTTAATCCAATGATGTAAACAAATTCAATTATATATAGATTTCGTCTGAATTAATTTTTAATAATAAAACAATATATCTATTTATCTATGTATCTATTATTACTAATTATTATCTAACTATTATTAACTTACAATTATTTTTATAATTATAGTTAATACAAACTTACCTCTGGAGGTTCCATACTTTCGAATATATGTCCATATGCATATAACTATTTAGCGCTTTTACTGCTTTGCTGTTCAACAGGATGAACTTCAAACAGCAAAAACTTGCGCCGGAAGTACGTCATCGAATCTAGTTACTTTCCAGAATGCTGCTGCTTTTCACTGCTCATGAAATGTTACCTTAAGGACCTTGATCCTTCTAGAAAGATCCGGCGGGAAAAACAATCCGACAACAAATTCTATTATTCGGGTCTTTCTAGAAGGAACGAAAAGATACGTGTTAAACAAATATTTATCACGGCTGGCGGTATACAATGGCCCGAACGGACGCGTTCGCTAAACGTTGCGCTGCGGCTTAGTGACAGCCGTCTCTCTCTTTCCCGCTAGCGATGCTAGCAGCATCGGCTGATTCCCAGCATCGATAATATTTTATTTGCTAGAACCATAGCAAAACGAAAGTCAAGTTTTTTCATAACATTAAGCAGCCCAACACTTTTTGCTATGTCGCCACCATTGAATTTTTTTGGGGAATTTCCTCTAATGTTTTAAGTATTTTACTATAATTAGAAAAAATTACTTTAGCCGCTGCCAAGTGACCCGACCATCGCTGTTCTAAGAGTCGCACTATATTTTTTCCTTCGTATAATTGGGCTACCTAACCTATGTAATATATATTATGCAATTAATTGTATGTGTAAACGTGAAAATTGCACAATAGAAAATAAGTTAAAAGAAAGAATAATTGTTCCTTAAATATCATACTTGTTAAAAAATTAATTTTGTAGGATGGAAAAATGTTTTTTTTCTAGTTCGATATAATTAATAACCTTTTCATGTATATATTAATCTTTAGAGGACGGGAAGCCAATATTTTGGGTCTATAAGAGTCGCTTATTTTTCATGGTACAACACTATAATAAAAATATAAAAATTCTTACTTCAAATTACAAAGGTTACAAAAAAATACGCCCGCCCTCTAAAGGTTAAACCCGAAAGTATTTATCCAAAATTATATAAAATTTATTAAATATACATGCCGTTCATTTTACCTTTTATAAGAATACTTTATTTGATCCATATAAAAACTCGAAAAGAATTGACTAATATATCGAAAAACCGCGAAATATAATCTAACAAAACCTAACAACCTAATCTAACAAAAGTTATAAAATTTCTTTTCCATATATGTAAAATAAAAATTGATAAATCTTGATAAAATATGTCATGAATATATGTCAAATTGTTTTTAAACATAAGTTAAAATAAGTAAGGAAACATACGTCCTCCGCCACTGTCTTGATTTGTTCTTCACTGATATGTACATCTTTGCCTCTTTATGGATAAATTCTATTGCTAAGGATGCTAAGGTAGCATGATGAAAAAACTCATGCAATGTGACACACTGGTAAAAAAATGCTTTAGAATTGTAATTTCGGATATTGCTTTTATAATGATTAAATGCAATCTGTGATTAAAGCAATGTACATAGGACACAGTCTTTTTAACTGCTTTTTGAATACGTGCTGAAACTCCTACTTTACCACTTATTACACTTGCTCCGTCATAACATTGACTTAGAAGATAGTCTGTTTTTAAGTTATTCTCTTTTAAAACTTTTAAAGTTTCTTGTGTGAATGTCTCCGCGTTTAATTTTTTAGTAGTTGTTAAGATGAGAAGTGATTCCTTAACTTTGCCATCTTTTACATATCTAATAGCAATTGATATGTTTTCTCTGTTGTGTTTTATTGTGTGTTCCATCTTCTAATAAAGTAAACCAATTTACGTCAACACTGTTTATTTCTTGGACAACATTTTCTCGCACAATTTTTGTAATTACAGCTATAATTTTATTTTGTATTTCTGGAGATGTGTAAATTGCGTTTTTTGAAATTGTTAATTGACATTCTGAAAGATATTTGTCTTTTTTTTTTAAGTATATTCAAATACATTTTTAAAAAGGCCTTGTTCATCATCTTTGATATTAAAGTGTCCCTGCAAGGCAAGTTCATTTACCACTAAAAATTGAACAATTTCTGCAATAGTTTTAATATAATAGCGATTTTTTCAAGTACATTTGAATTAATAAGCGTAGAAATAGATTGAGAAGTGTCGGTTCTGTGCATCTTTTCTTGCCATAATGCTATTGCTTGCAAATGGTGTATACTTTGTTCATATCTCAGAAAACCTCTTGCATCTAACGCATGCTTCCATGATCGAAATCCTGATTTAGTAAATATTTTCTCCTTATTACCAGGTGTCTCAAATTGCATACAAGCATAGCAAAATGCTGCATCTCTCACGTGAATATTGCAACTATTGAAATTTAGAGAACCATTTAACTTGAAATGAACGAAAATTTCGTTTGGGATAATTATGTAGACGTATTTGCTTTATTGACTCTCTTTTGCAAGGTAAATCTCTTGAGAGTATCAAAAATTTTGTACGTTTTCTTCATAAATAGTATCGTCTACCTCTACGTCTTCCAACTAATTCATTTAACGATTATATACTTGTAGATGGTTCTGGATTTATCTGGACTATATCTTCTAAACCAGTTTTGCTTTTAGAAAAGATTTGCGAATATCCATAGCTAAACATAGAAAATATTCTTAATTTTTATCGAATTTTAGTTAAAATTATGATGGGAATTTTTTGACCCCTTTATCTATAAAATTTTTATTATAAATGTGGCGTCTCAACACCACATAGGCGCCACGTGGTAACGCCCCTGCGGCGTATCCACACCGCGCACATGCACGAGCGCCTCAGGGAAGACCCCTAAGGCACGGCAACCCTCCGGATTTTTTAAGAGTGCCCTTACTCGACACGCGCGCTTTTCGCACTCGCCGCTACGCGCCGACGTTTCCCGTGAGTGGGATACCCGCGGATGGGTAATATAAGGATAATTAGGATAGTCATGATTGTTAATGTTATTAGTAATTTCCTAACAATTTAATTTGTTGGCACCCAATTCTTTATGTAGAGGTTTGCTAATATTAATTAGAGTGGATGCAGTTTTTAACCGACGCACAGTTTTTGGAGACAGACAAACTATTTTGTTTGACTTAATGCACGGTTTGTTTATATTAGTTCTTCGAATGAACCAGCGTAAATGAGAGGCGGCAACACGGGTTGGACGACGTCCGAGTAATAGCAGGAGTTCTGATTCTACATTAAGATCTATCATCTGATATTGATGTATTTCTCGATGGTTGGATGAAGTTGGTAATAAGACGTGCTCCGTTTAACAGAGAGGTTCCTTAAATAATTTCCTTATTGGGAAATAATAGTAGAAAGATTTATCGGCGAGACTTCTCCGAATTCTTGTGCAATGTGGGAGTGTTGATTAATTAATAGATTCTTACCTTTAAAACGATGAACTCTTCGTTGATCTGCAATGTGTTGGGTTTGCTTCGCTCCCTCGCTAGGACCACGGTCGTGGGGTGCTTATGGCAAAATCAAACACTCAAGTATGCGATGCACTAAAGTTCTTTATTCGTCCTTTTTTTTACCATTTACAAATTGAACGCGAGAATAAAATTGAGAATTCGACGCGGTTGACGGCTAATTTGTGACTTAAACGGAAACGCTGAGTTACAAGTAACCCGGAGTTATAACGACCAATTGTCGTTAACAAAGTCATGTATTCTAAAATTCACGTTAAGACTTGCTTTCGTACTGGCGCTATAAGTGTTTATGATGTAATGCCGCGCCAGATTTTCGGGAGTTTATATACCCCTTGAAAACGGAAATCTTGGTGTCAAGTGCAATTTTTGAGTGGGAGGATTCCCACGAAAAACGCTTTCCCGGAAGATATAATAAATTCATCTCATAAGAAAAGGGGTTGTTTGACAGTTCTGTGAAGTCGAGCGTGCTCAACTTTTCACCAAATATGGTCATAAGGTGACAACGATAAGAAAATATAAGTTCCAATAAGTCT